ATCTTGGTTCTCCAAGATCGATTTGAGGTCTGGATACCATCAGGTGAGGGTGCGAGATGAGGACGTCCATAAGACAGCGTTTAGGACGCGTTATGGGCATTATGAGTTTGTGGTGATGCCTTTCGGACTCACCAATGCCCCGGCAGTGTTCATGGATCTCATGAACCGGGTGTGCATGTCGATGTTGGATCGCTCGGTGATTGTATTCATTGATGACATTTTGGTATATTCGAGATCTAGAGAGCAGCATGAGGAGCATTTGAGGGAGATCCTCGGAGTTCTGAGATCGGAGAGGCTTTATGCCAAATTCTCCAAGTGTGATTTCTGATTGTGAGAGGTCCAGTTCCTAGGACATCTTGTTAACTAGGAAGGGATATTGGTCGATCTGGCCAAAGTTGAGGCGCTGATGAGTTGGGAGGTGCCGAGGTCACCCTCAAAGATCAGGAGTTTTCTAGGGTTGGCCGGATATTATCGAAGATTTATCAGGGGTTTCTCTAAGATCGCAGTGCCACTCACTAGGATCACCCGAAAGGGTGTTGCTTTTTCATGGGGCCCCGAGCAGCAAGCCTCCTTTGAGACGCTTCGCTAAAGGTTATGCGAGGCCCCGGTGTTAGCCCTCTCGGAGGGAATGGAGGACTTTGTTGTATACTGTGATGCATCGATCTTGGGGTTGGGAGCGGTGCTGATGTAGAGAGGGCATGTGATAGCATATGCATCGAGGCAGTTGAAGTCTCATGAGACGAGGTATCCCACCCATGAACTAGAGTTGGGGGTAGTCGTGTTCGCCCTCAAGATTTGGCGCCACTATTTGTATGGGGTTCGATGTACGATATATACGGACCATAAGAGTCTGAAGTATTTAATGGATCAGCCCAACCTAAATATGCGGAAGAGGAGGTGGTTGGATGTGGTTAAGCATTATGATTGTGAGATCATGTACCATCCGGGCAAGGCTAATGTGGTATCCGATGTCCTGAGTCGCAGGGCAGAGAGCGCCCCATTGCGAGATGTATGTTTGCGATTGACCGTGATGACTCCGGTATTGGACACCATTCGAGAAGCACAGGCTGAGGCATTGAGGTCGGAAAACTAGAAGAGAGAGCGAGTTGTTGGGTTGGTATCGGAGTTCGTTACCAATGGTCGGGGGCTTATGACTTTTCAGGGGCATATTTGGGTACCGTTTGTAGGAGGAACGCGTACCATTTTGATGGAAGAGGCTCATCGGTCGAAATTCTCGATCCATCCTGGGGCCACTAAGATGTATTTGGATTTGAGGAGGGAGTATTGGTGGCCCTGTATGAAGAGGGATGTTGTGTGGTTTGTTGAGAGGTGCTTAACCAACCATACGGTTAAGGCCAAACACCAGAGACCGCATGGTAAGTTGCAGCCGTTGGAGGTTCCTGAATGGAAGTGGGAACAGATTACGATGGATTTCATCACCAAAGTGCCAAGGACTGCTCGGGGAGTTGATGCAATTTGGGTGATTGTGGACAGGTTGACGAAGAGCGCTCACTTCCTTGCTATCAACTAGAGTTCTTCCGCAGAGAAGTTAGCAGAGATGTATGTGAGGGAAGTGGTATCTCAGCATGGTGTGCCGATCTCGATTGACTCAGACCAGGATGTACGTTTCACTTCCAGATTCTGGAAGAAGTTTCATGAGGAGCTGGGTACTAGGCTGCATTTTAGTACCGCATATCACCCCCAGACAGACGGACAGAGTGAGCGGACGATTCAGACGCTCGAGGACATGCTCCGAGCATGTGTATTGGTTTTCGGGGGAAGTTGGGATATGTATTTGCCCTTGGCCGAGTTTTCTTACAACAACAGCCATCATTCGAGCATGGGTATGCCACCCTTTGAGATGTTGTATGGGAGGAGGTGTCGGACCCCCATTTGCTGGGGAGAAGTCGGACAACGCGTTATGGGAAACACTGAGATCGTACTTCAGACGACAGAGCAAATCCAGCATGGTTTAGAGGATGTGTTATGATGTATTAATCTGTTAACACCGAGTCCTGGTAAATAAGATGTTATGTGGTAGTGATCTGTAGATCTTCTTGTTAGTTTGTTGATTTGTTATATGATTATTTGTTACAATTATATGTTACATGTTATGTATATGTCGGCATAGTATGGTTGGGTTGCGGCATTACTATTTTGTGCAGAAGCCAACAAAACTAGGAGCAAGTGAGACATAAATTGTGGGCCCAAGGGGCAAGTCAGACTTATGATGTGGGCTCGGGAGTAAGCTAGACATGAGTTGTGGGCCTAAAGGCAATCCAAAATCATGTTGTGAACTCAGGGTAATCCACTTTTTGTTAGTTGTGGACCTAATATGCATGATGCTATATGTTGTATGGTGGTACTTTGGGGGAATTCACTAAGGGTTGGCTTAGAATTTCAGTTTTATGTTTCAGGTACTTCGGATGACCGAGGCAAGGCGAAGGTATGATGGTATACATCTTTCGATGATATGTTTTAGGAGATTTTATGATACATTAATCTTGGGAATATTTGTATTTTATACTTGATTTATATGGTTTTGCTTGAAAACAATGGTTTCTTTTATGTTAACAATGAAAAATTTTATCGTGATTTTTGGAATATTACGGGTTTCATATGGGATACACCACTCTTAGTTTACAATTGGTATAAGGTATTCCCAAAATGACTTTGTGTAGTAATAACTATCGTTGTGTACATATTTAGTAATTTTTTATACACGATTTACCATTGAACTCACATTTATTGTTCAAGAAATACAATTTTGACATATTTATGGCGGGTCTACAGTTATGTTCAAGAAACAACATTAAAGGCACATTTATTGTTTACGAAACACCATTAAACTCACATTTTTCTATATGGAATTTATTTAATTTTTTTTTGCACATTTAGTCGCTTTCGTCTTTTCCGACCATTACCAATTTTCTGGGCATCTTTCTCGACCAACATAATTTTAAAGAATAAAGAAATCAAAATTTTATTTATTCATTTTGAAAAAAAAAACATTGCAAAATGCATAGTCTATAACTTTTCCTCTCTGGTGAGAAAGCCTCCACCCCTCTCTTTACTATCTCCAACGTCTCTTTTGTTGCTCACACATTTCTTAGCTCCTTTCCCTGTCATATTACTTTGCAAAAACCATCCTACCCCTATATCCATCTCATACCCATTTTTTCTTGAATCGTGGGCCTCTAATAACCACCTCTGTTTATTAATGCAACTTTAATGCTAGAATTTGAGTTTGAATTGATTGAATGTTTGAATAAATTTTTAGGTTTGAATCAAGTAGATGTTTGAATCGATTTTGTTTTACGTTGAACTTGATTTTAAATTACTTTCTTGTGGTGGTGGTGGTGGTGGATGAAGGAGATAGGTGATTGTGGTGGCGAATGGTATGGATGGAAAAGATGGTGTTTATTGTCGGAAATGGACACACCTGGTGGTCAGAGAATATGATAAGGACATATGGGTTGTTTGGTTCATTGGAATCCGTTGGAATTAGAAAGAATTCGAATTTGATTCCATCACTCTCCTTTGTTTTGTTCAAGCTTTCAAAAGGAATTGGATTCCTAAATGAATCAAATTTTCCTTCAAATAAGGGAAAAAAAATTTATCCAAAAAGTTAAGGAATTAAAATTCCCTTTAAGTAAGAATGTTAAATGTTAACATATTAGCCATTTTAATTTTAACATTACATATGAAACCCATCTGTCGCCACCTCCACCATTATCCACCACCCACCACCACCGCTACACACCACCACAACCGCCACCCACTATCACCACCACCAGTACCTCCGCTACTATCACTCTCCACCCACTAGCACCATCACCTCCAATACCACTCATCAGCACCACCTCCACCACCACACATCACCGTCATCACCACCCGTTACCACCACATCCGCAACCACCCACCACTGCCATAACCTCCCACCACCACTACTGTCACCATCACTCGCCACCTCCACCAACATTACCACCTCTACCACCACACCGCCTTCCTCCTCTACCACCACTTACTAAGACGACCATAACATCACTTTCAACACCACCGTCATCAGCTTCGCCCACCACCACCATCACTGCCACCAACACCTCTGGCACCACCCTCATCATCACCATCGTTACTACCATCATTGCTACATCCCTACTACACCATCCGCCACCTCCGCCACTACTTATCCTCGCCACCATCACCATCACCATTACAATTACTACCGCCATTATCATCATCACCTCCGCCACTACTCCACATCACCTATGTCGCCATTAACACCACCACTGACACCGTCAACATCACTCCCATCATCACCATCATTTATTATTTTTATAACTTATATAATATATATTTTTACATATAAGTTATAAAACAAAGTAAAAATAAGCAAAAAAAAAAAAAAGATAATTTTGTCATTTTATATTATTTCAATATCATTTTCTACCAAACAAACATAATTTGGAAGTGAATTAGAATTGCTAATAGATTATTGCTTAATAGATTCCAATTCTTTTAAAAATATCTTGCGAACCAAGTGTCTATAGTTTACCGATAATGTGTGTATATAAAAAAGAAACATTAACCTGTAATAGCTAATTATATTCTAGGTTTTGAATATTGTTTGGTAGAATTTAATGGTAAGTACCATATATATATATATATATATATATATATATATATATATATATATATATATATATATATATATATATATATATATTTCATATTTTCCCTATGTAACTTTTTTTATATATAAACTATATTCTCTTTCGCATTTTGTCATGGTTAGGTGTTCTATAACCAAATATCCATAGTGGTTCCTGTAATTAAAAAAGTAGCAAAATGTGGTGTTTGGTGACGTACGTAGCATTTTGTTTTAGAAATATTTACAAAAAAAGTTGACTAATATGCTTAGACGAGCTCCAGATCCAAGCCCACTCCATGTCTTGCCTACTATTCGTTTGGAATGAATAAATAAGAATAAACAGATTTAGTATCGAAGTAATCTATTAAAAGTCAACAGACCCAAGAGTCACCAACGTGCGGTCCTTACAAGTTACGTACATCACAAAGTACATTTTACATTAAAAAAGATTTGTTTTAACGTAGAAATCATACAATATGACTAACACAGTACACCCAATAAAACTTCGTGCACTATTCTGCATAGTAGCAACACTTTTGCCACTTCTGTTAAAGCTTAAAACACCAAGCATTTTGGTTATCATAGATTTAGCGATTTTGTTATTTCTTTAAAGAAGTTGCATGATGTTTATCTGCCGACTCAGTTCTCACAGCCTGGAACCTTGGTTCTTTTGGGAGAAACTTTTGTTCCGTATACACAGACATGTAGTCACCAAAAAGAAACTTTGGGTATCCGAATTTAACCGCTTCGTTTTCTAATTTCTTTACAAGTTGGGTTGCAGGTTCAATGGTTGCGTTATAGGAAGGTCTACTGGTGCAGAGTTCTTGAAAAAGTTATCTTCCCTCTCTTGCTTGTAGCACTCAGAGCTCACCATCTTCACCCTCTCCAGAAGGTCTACTGGAATCCCATGATTCACCAACTGCACCCAAAAAAAACAATGCTTAATGCAGTGAATATTTATTTCATTATCTCTATGGATTTAGAAGTTGGATATGTACCTGAAAGAATCCCCATTCTTCACATCCATTTGCAATCTGTGACATTGTCGTAGGTCTCTCTTCGCCGTTGAGCTTTGAGAAGTCAATAACCGGAATCGTCATTTTTAGGGAGGAAGAAGGTTTACACTTTCTTGAGTCTGAAAATCTTAAACTGGTGTGGTAATAATAGATCGTTATCGTATTTATAGGCTTTTTGTCCCTCTCATCACATGGAAAATGTCAACTCATTTATATTATAATACTTTGTTCGATGAAGTAAGCTTTCTTTCTCGTCAATTTTGAGTGACAATAAGGTCAATGATACGGTTGGTGCGCGGCAAGATGGCCATTTTTTATTATTTTTGTAAGAAAATTAAATATTCTTTTATACTTTTTTTTTCTATCAATCTTTCTATTTAAATGATAACATATTAAAATATCATTAAGGGATAATGACTTGAAAGGGTAACGAACATTCGAATTTTTTTTACATTTAATCACTAAACTTTTTTTCGTTATCTATTTCCCATTGAACTATTAAAATTGTTCACATTTTACCCTTAAGACCGGCTGTTACCAGTCAATAGGGTAAAATGTGTGAACAGTTTCAATAGTTTAGTGGCAAATAGATAACGAAAAAAAATTTAGTGACTAAATATGAACAAAATCGAAAGTTTGTTTCCCTCTAAAAAGTTCAATGACTAAATGTGAACAAACTTTCTCTTGTAATATGTCTTAGCAAATTATTTATTTTTGTTAAATTGTAGCAACATTTATTGATGAAGAAATCTATGAAATTAAAAAAAAAAAAAAAAAAAAAAAAAAAAAAAAAAAAAAAAACCCTGAAAATATAGTAAAAAAAACCAAAAAATCGAAACTGAAATCAAAAAACCAGTGGTTTGACATTGGTTTGGCATACAGAATTTGTTTGGCATACAGAATTTGTTTGAATTATTGAAATTGTGACATCCCATGAATACGTAGTTACAACATCGTCTGAACTCGTAATTCATAGTAAGGGGTTAGAGTATCATCGCATGAATATGTAGTTACAACATCGCATGAACTCGTAATTCATCACCTACAGGTTATGGGCCTGCTGGTGTTTCCACTGGGTTGTCTAGAATAGTCTGTGGTCACCATGTATACTCTGGTAGATGACTACATCGCCACATTGCCGGTTAAGGTTATGATATCTTCTTTCATCCTACATCACCTATTCATCATCATCTACTTACCTAATTATCATCACCTATCTTTCATCATTTTATTTCATCACACACCAACTATTTCATCTACCCATGTTTCATCTGCAACATATTTGTAGATATAAAATAAATATATCGTTTAAATCTTTTAAAACATGTATAAAATTGTTCATCCAGCATAGACGACAAGTATTCAAATAATATGCACACATAGCATGTAATTTATATAAAATATTTCATATCTATGTGTAAGATGAAAGTAACTATATATACCATAAAAATCCCATAAATGCTTCCTAACTTCAAACCCCAAGGTTTACTCTACTAAAGCTTCATATTCTCGGCTATCTGGACCTAAAAGGGTCCAGATTCCTAACTTCAAACCCCCAAGGTTTACTCTACTAAAGCTTCATATTCTCTGCTCTCTGGACCTAGAAGGGTCCAGATCTATAACACAAACTTGCAAGAGGGGTTTGAGGCATTCAAAACCCCAAAGATGAAGTGATTCAAGCCCTAACCCCAAAATGGAATCTACACAATAGGGAAGGAAAGGGGTTCATTTTTGTACCTCTGAATGAAGCTCCTTGCTTGAATAACTCAGAACAATAACCTTCCTTGGTCCCTCTTGCTGGAATTCTTCTCCTTTCTTGCAAAATCACACCAAAAAGCTCAAGATAACTCTTCCTCTCACTCTACACACTCAAGCTCGCTAGGGGTTCTCACTTATGGGAAAGGTAGTTGCAGTTGAAGGCCATAAGTGCATTTAAATATGGCTCGAGCCCAAATTTAAGGTTTCTGCCAACAGCGCGGACTCGTCAAGTCGCCTCGTCGACTAGTCGAGTCCATTCATTAATCCGAGTCATCAGTCGCGACCTTACTCGACGAGTTGAGGCGTCAACTCGTCGAGTCTCTCTTCGTAACTCAAAAGAAAAATACTTAAATTATGATACCTGGAAATCCGGATGTTACATTTCGTTTTTTTATTTCATAGATTTCTTCATCAACAAATGTTGCTACAATTAAACAAAAATAAATAATTTGCTAAATCATAATACAATAGGAGGTTTGTTCACATTTAGCCATTGAACTCTTTAGAGGGAAACGAACTTTCGATTTTGTTCACATTTAGTCACTAAATTTTTTTTCGTTATCTATTTGTCACTAAACTATTGAAACTGTTCACATTTTACCCTTATGACCGGTAACAGCCGGTCATAAGGGTAAAATGTGAACAGTTTCAATAGTTCAATAGCAAATAGATAACGAAAAAAAAATTTAGTGACTAAATGTGAACAAAGTCGAAAGTTCGTTACCCTTTCAAGTCATTATCCCTATCATTAATGAATACTAATGATCTATTTAAATGTTAACATATACTAAAATATCATTAAATAAGTACATTTACTAATGATCTATTTAAATGATCACATATACTAAAATATAATTAAATAAGTACATTAATATTACATATATTACAATTTAACTAAATATATCTGAATATGAGAATTTATAGGAAAAAAAATAAAACTATTTAATTTCTCCTTTTTTTTATGTATTATTATAGAATATATATATATATATATATATATATATATATATATATATATATATATATATATATATATATATATATATATATATATTGTTATGAAATATTAGTTTGTGAATGACCATTGGATTCTCCATTTCTCCCATAACTCTCCATCATTATTTTGCATTAGTAACAATCATTTCAATGTGTTTTATGAATGTAATAATACACCATCATAATGTACATTCATATTATAGCTCATCTTTCATCTTATTTGGATAGTATAAATAGTGAGCCATATGTATTAGGCACTTGATGATTTCATCACAAGTATTGGAATAAAAGTTCTCTCTACTCTCTTGTCTTTCTTTACTTTATAATTTATCTTGTTATTTGATCATATTTTATAACACGTTATCAGCACGACTCTACCATAGAGCTCTAACTCCTTATTGTTCTTGTAATTTTCAGGTACCCCGATTTCTTTCTAAAAAAAAAAACAAAAAAAAGTTGCAAATGTTTGTCACTAATGTGGAATGACCGATCATTGGTCTTATACATGCCGCTTACTAAAGCATTTTGTTGATCCTTATCAAGATTTTCTAAAATATAAAGAAAACTATCGAAACAAAATTTATTCAAAGTGATATTCATGAAGATCAACAAAAAATGGCACATTTAGATGCTGTCGATTTTCTTGTCTACCTAGAAGGGACAAGTGGTGATATGGATGGTGATTGATCAGAATAAATGTGTAGTTTTGTTTCATGACATTTATTATGTTTTTATGTCTTCATTTCATGAGAAATGATGTCCTCACAATTTTTATGTCATATTCGTTTCATGAGAAATGATGTCGTCACAATCTTTCCAAATTAATAAAATATGAATTTATTTCTCTAAGTCGAATGTTTCTTATGTTTTATTTATTTACTGAAAAGAAACATGGATATTCGCAAAAGAAATAATGAAGATATATTTCTTGCAGACAATGCAATAACACATAACATTTTTAATAATGAAAAGTATTTTGCTTACTTATCAATTAGATAAGCAAATGTTAATATAATAACAGGTAATGCAAAAATGATTAAAGGCTCTGGAAGAGCGAATATAATATTACAACAAGGGACACTAATTACAAATTAGTGATGCATTATTTTAGTCTAAATCACCAAGATTGAAGGCTCCGGAAGAGAGAATATAGTATTACTACAAGTGACAATAATTACAATTGGAGATGCATTATTTTATCAAAATCACCAAGAAATTTATTAAGTTTTAAGGATATTCGGTCCAACGGATATCATGTTGAAACAACTAATGATGGTGATAAAGAGTATCTCAATATTACAAAAATGATATCAGATAAGAAAAGTTTTTTTGGAAAAATTACATGTATTGTCCTCCGAATTGTACTATACAAATATTACAATGATTCATGCTATTGAAAATATTACAATGATTCATGTTATTGAAAATAAAAAAGGTATGATATTACCTTAGTAGTTTGGCATGACCGGTTGGGCCATCCCGGATCAATTATGGTATGTAGAGTAAATGAAACTTCAAGTGGTCATTCCTTGAAAAACCAGAAGATTTTTCAAGATAATGAATTGTGTTGCATGCTCTCAAGGAAAATTAATATTCAGTCCATCATTGAACAAAGTTTGGTATGAAAGTCTTAGTTTCTTACAAAGAATTCAAGAGGATATATATGGATTAATTCATCCAACACCATGTGGACCATTTAGATATTTTATGGTTTTAATTGACGTGTTAACTAGATGGTCACATGTGTGTTTGGTGTCTAGTCATAATTTGGTTTTTGCAAGATTACTTGCATAAATAATTTGCCTAAGGGCACATTTTCCCGATTACCCAATTATGAAAATTTGACTTGACAATGTTGGAGAATTTACATCATAATCTTTTAATGATTATTCCATGTTGATTAGGACAACTATTGAACATCATGTTGCATATGTTCATACACAAAATGGTTTAGCTGAGTCGTTAATCAAACACCTTTAACTAATTGCAAGACCATCACTAATGCATTCTAAACTTCCTATATTGACATGGGGCATCCAATTTTACATGCAACATCACTTATATGCATAATGACAACTAGTTATCATGAGTTCTCCCCTATTCAACTGGTTTGCGGTCAGTAACCAATTATTTACCATCCAAGGGTGTTTGAATGTATAATTTATGTACCCATTGATGTATAATTTATGTACCCATTTCTCCACCTCACTTCACAAAAATGGGTCCTCAAGAAAAATGAGAATTTATGTTGGATATGAATCTCCATCTATAGTAAAATATTTAAAATCATCAATTGGAAATTTATTTACAGCTATATTTGATGATTATTATTTTGATGAATCATATTTTCCAACATTAGGGGGAGAAATAAAGAAGTTGGAAAATAAAATCTCTTGAAAGGAATTGTCACTTTCAGTTTTAGAT